GACAGAGACAGAGAGACAGAAAGCGAGAAATCACCCCACGGGGGATGGCCACGCCGTAATCCCTTCTCCTCCATTCTCCTCTTGGGATCTTGGGCACGCACGCACACGCGCCCGCCATGAGTTTTCAGCTGCCGGGTCTTGGATCACGGACAACTGCGTGGGAGTCCAGCGACTTCATTACGCTATTTACCGGCCCCCAGATTCTTCTTTAGAAGCTCTTATTCTGTCCCAAACAAATGTAGTCAGTGCGTTTTTATTTTTGTGATTTTTCGTTGAAACAGATCGACCTTATCAGCTGCCAGTTTTGCCCCTAATGGTCTGTGTGACCTGGAGTAACTCCTTTGTATTGAATATTGAACCATTTGAACTAGCAACATTTCAAAATAATCCTATAAAATGACAGTTTAACTTTAACTGAAGACACTGTTTATTCTGTGGCGTAATAACCCAGCCTGCTGTCAGGGGCCTGTTACTAAGACCTGTGCTCTGAGGGGCAGAGTCAAGTTAAAAGCCACTGGTGGAAAGGGATGTAAACTGACTATTGAATTACCTTTTACAGATTATTCATAACTTAAAGTTGATCTGCATTGAAGTGGCAAATTGATTTTGCAAAGTGATTTTTAGTTTTACAATGTTGTAGGCAGATTGGTGCCCAGCAGGTGGCATGGTGGTTAAGGTCTTAGACTCCTCTACATGGCTAACTGCAGTTCGAGTCCTAGACCTGGCTGCTTGAAAATCATGCTGGGCATGTGTGCATGCATGTCCCAAATCCCAAGAGGAGAATGGAGGAGAAGGGATTACAATGTGACCACACCTCCTGGGAGGTGATTTCTTACTTTCCCTCTCTCCTGTGAGCACATGTGCCCTATGGCAAAACCCTTTTAAAAAAAGGGGGGGAGGGTCCCCCCAATTGCAGTCATGTGTGTGAATGTCCTGATCCGTACAGACAAATCCTCATAGCAGTATATTTCTGCTGTAAACTGTAGTTTACCCACTCGCCTCTCTGTCCCAGTGCACGGAATGGGGAAGGACCATGCTGTGAGAGACAGCTTGCACTTGAATTCCTTTTAGATTGTAGGCTAGGGGGTTCACTCTGGTTTTCTCCCTTTCTTCTTCTATAACCCCTTCTTTTTTTCCTTTAGCACTCATGAATAGTGCATGGCAAAAATGCCCCGTGGAAGAGGTATGTCTGTGACAGTCCCCTGAGTCCTTTCAGAGTGCTACGCCTGCTGATTCCAGCTTTAATGGTGGGGGTACTGAGATTGTAGCACCCTCGGGTGAGCCTCCGGCGTAATGCGACCTTTCCTGCCAATCAGACGCACCGTGAACAGTTCTGGCCTCTCTGCCCTCTTTTATCCCAATGGGAAAATATGTCTCAGCTTGTTTTTGCTCTTGATAAAACACATCGCCGTCCAACCAGCAGAGATGTAAGTGTCAGGGCATCTGCGAGCCCACCTCCAGGAGTTTGGGTTCTGGATGCCGGCGGGTTGCTCCGCCAGCCCAGCACAAATGCAGCTGCCTCTGCGTAGCCCACCACCCACCTCCACCCCTGCCTCTCCCGGCTTCGCAGCATCCTTTCAGAGAGAAGCAGAAGGTGACAGGAAGAAGGGAAAGATCCATGCTTCCAGTTTGTCCAATCAGAAGAACTGAAACAGCAGAATACTGGAGAGAGATGAAAGCGGCTTGATGAAATTGTTTACATCGGAAACAGATTCCTCTTGTGCACAAATCTTAGAGTATTTGAAGATTTTCAGTCCCCCAAAGGGATCTTTAGAAGGTGCTCCTAAAAAAACAGAGAAAATAGTCTTAATAGAAATGGACCCTTATTATGACATATATTTTAGATTATCTGGGTAAAACTTGACTTGCTTTATATAATAGGAAAAGATTTGAACTGTCAAGCGTTTTGAGTCTGAGACTTGTGAAAAGTCAGTGTGGGCCAGCTCCGTAGCCTAGCTTAGGTTAAGAGAGCTGGATCCCATGTGACTCCACACAGTGTCAGTCCCAGGCCTGGCGACATGGAAAAGCACCACGTGTGTGCGTACATGTCCCAAATCCTGACAGGATAGAGAAATGGAAGAGGAAGGCTTGCAGCGTGACCATGTCCCATGGAGGGACGCTTTCTCCCTCCCTCTCGCTCTGTTTCTTTCTGGACAGTGAAAAAAAAAAGTTGCTGCTGCATATGCAATAATAAGTTTATAAATATGTTTTTAAATGTAATTTAAACACCTTCTGCATTTAGTATTACCTCTTAATGTAAGTAACAAAACCATTTGAAATTTGTGAAATTCCAGAAAGCTAGGAAATAGATTATTAATTAGACCACTTCTCCTCTTCTTAGAGTAGAGTTATAAACAAACATCACAGAAGTATGGTCATATAGGGGTGGGCAGGTGGTGTGGTGGTTAAGGCACTGGATTCCCACATGGCCCGCTACAGTTCGAGTCCCAGACCTGGCAGCTTGCTTTCTTGCTTTCCCTTTCTCTTTCTGATCAAATTTTAAAATAATAATAATAACAAATGAAATTAATTGTTTTTTAAAAAAGTATGGTCACATGGATGAGAGCAGGCATTTCCATTTTCTGCTGCCATTGCAGTTTTATGCCATCCTTGTGATGTTCCGGCTGTGCAACCAACAGCTGTCTCCCTCCCTCTGTGCATTTCCAGAAAGACAGAATGTGCTTTTGAGAGCTTTTGAAATCTATATTTTCCTATGTAATTCAAATACATGCACTGGATTCCCACATGGCCCGCTACAGTTCGAGTCCCAGACCTGGCAGCTTGCTTTCTTGCTTTCCCTTTCTCTTTCTGATCAAATTTTAAAATAATAATAATAACAAATGAAATTAATTGTTTTTTAAAAAAGTATGGTCACATGGATGAGAGCAGGCATTTCCATTTTCTGCTGCCATTGCAGTTTTATGCCATCCTTGTGATGTTCCGGCTGTGCAACCAACAGCTGTCTCCCTCCCTCTGTGCATTTCCAGAAAGACAGAATGTGCTTTTGAGAGCTTTTGAAATCTATATTTTCCTATGTAATTCAAATACATAACTACGATTAACTTTATGCCATTAAAAAAGAGCATTTTGATTTACTTTTCTACTTAGCAATGTTACAATTCACACCTTCTCTCTGATGTCAAATGTAAGCTAGCTCCTCCCAATCGCCTACGCTACAAAAATGTTAACGTTGGTTGAATTTGGTTCTATACCCATGGACTCTTTCTCTTCCACAGCGTCGCGGACTTCTGTTCAGAGTGAACTTCATCGAGATAGGAGGTATGGTTCTATGTACGGTAGAGCGCATGTGTGTTCTGCTAGTCATTCGGTTCAGATTGCATCGTCATGGGCAAGCGCACTCCTCTTCTATAAGCAGTGTACGACTGTGTTCTGCCTCGTCGGTAAATTTCCTGAATTAATATATAACTTCGAATGATGGAGAGTTTGCTTGAGAGGAAATGATACAGGCCTGAATGTGGTTTTTTGACTGTAATTACTGAAGTCTGTTTTAAAATGTTTGTGGAAAAACTGGTACCATGTAAAGCATCGTGACTGTCTCACGGAGACCCTGTACCCTGCAGCCACTTAGCACGCGTGGCCTGAAAGCGGGTGGATGACAGGATAGGAAACTGAACGGAAGGGTAAAAAAAAAAAAAGAACAGAGGCAGGTGGTCCAGATGGATAACTGGTGGATGGCTGGTTGGAGAGGGAGGGAGGAGAGGAGAGAATGACCGGAGTCCTTCCTGGAGGAGGAAGACACAAGGACAGAGAGGAGACAGAATGGACGGAAGGGCAGATGGAAGGATGGACATGCAGATAAAAGGATGGCTGTGTTTTCAGAGATCGTGCTCCCTGCTTTCAGTTCTCCCAGTATAGTGTAGTACAGAACAGCACCTTAAAGAGCAGCGACTTCAGAGTCAGGCAGAGCTAAATCCCAGCTTCACTGCTTTCCCAGCCTGTGTCCTGGGCAGGCCGTTTAACCTGTTCAGCTTCTCAATCCCCATCTTTAGAATGGTGGTGCTCTTACGTCACAGGTTGTCACAAGAGTAATGCCAGATAGTGCTTAGCATCTCTTAACCGATAACGGAGTGTTTAGTTAGGTGGGCACTGTAAGCAGAGCTTAGGGAGTGCCCTTCAAGTTGAACCCATAAGCAGGTTCTGCATACCAGCACGGAAGTGTGTGTGTGCCCAGCCTCGGTAATGACAGTGCTTTTCTGTTTTGATCTTCCATAGAGTGCTACAGAGAGGCAGAGCAGGCGTCTTCATCCCTCTTGATGAGAAAGCTGAGACTTCGAGAGGCTGGTTTGCTCAGGGTCACGCAGTTGGTTTTGTTAGGAAGTCAGGTTAAAGGTAACATTTCAACATGCAGATGTAGAGTCACATTAAGAAAAGGATGAAAGAAAGCCAGTCTTAAATCTCTAAGAATTCTCCATATTAAAGAGGAGCCATCACATTCAAAGCTAAGCAGAAACAGAGGCTCGTGTCAGGTTCTAGACATGAACATGGAGGCTCGGAACGGGACATTAACTTTGCAGGGGTGGAGCTGGGGCGAGGAGGAGGGGGCTGTCCTCTCTGTCTCTAATTTCCGTGTCCAAGGAGATCCGTGATGGTAACGGAAATCCAGGCAGTTCTGTACAGACAGCAGCAGGGCCCTGGGGTGGAGAGATGGCGTGGGCCCACCGAGGCAGCGCGAAGTGTGCTCAGGAGAGAACTCGAACTTTCTCAGGTCACACTCGTAGAGTTGGACTGTCATTTCCCCTCCCGAAGCCTGTCCAGGCGTCATGTTCATGAATGTTGGAACCTTTGCAGATGGGCAGTAGCTCGTAACCAGCCTGCAGAACTCACCGAGCTTCTGTCCCTAGGCGCCCGGAGATCACCATTGTGGCAGCTGAGCCCCTGAGGCCGGCCTCGTGGTTTCCAGGAGCCCCACCCCCAGTTTTGGGCTTTCCCCCGTCTTCTGCTGCAGGCCCCTGGAGGCCCAGTGAACTCCTTCCTGACTCCGTCCTGCTGAGGTGAGCGAATGTCACATTCTCTCTTTGCACTTTTTTTTTGGAGAGGTTTTTGCTATAGGGCGCGTGCGCTCGCCAGACAGACAGAGAAAGACAGAAAGTGAGAAATCACCCCCCAGGGCGGATGGCCATGCCGCAATCCCTTCTCCTCCATTTTCCTCTCGGGATCTTGGGCACGCACGCACACCTGCCCGGCGTGAGTTTTTTAAACCACCAGGTCCGGGACACGAACCATGGTCGACTACATGGGGGTCCAGCGACATAGCCATTATGCTAACTGCTGGTCCCTGCACTTTCTTTTTAAAATGAAATCCCAAGTCAAGAACAGTGAGACTGTGGCCGCCTTGGCGCTGGCCCGACGATGGCTAAAATCTTTCTTTCGCAGCTCCCACCGTCATATGAACAAGTCATAAAAGAAATCAACCAGGTTCAAGTCAATACCACGAACAACAACAATGCCTCTGCCGCGCCCAGGCTCACGAGCACTTCTGCCACGCAGACGGACTTTCCGGAAGAAATAAACAACCATCTGCCTCAAAGTAACGCGAGCCATTGCTCTTCCCAGTTCTGGCCTGGGTCTGGGGAAGGCATCGGGAGGGTTCGGGTGTTTAAAATATTTGCAATTTGTGCATAATTCATTGAGCTCGGCTCCCCCGTGAGGGTGACCACTCTGTGCCCTCTTTATTGGGGTGTGCAATGACTGTCCTACTAGATCGTTGGTTGAACGGCTCACCCGAGTTCACGTCACAAAGACGTCATCCTTTAACTCCCAGCGGGGATTACTGCTGTTCTCCCCATTGAGGAGGGTGTTATGTTAGCGACTTAAACTGGATGATTGTCCTGTTAAACCTTTATATATAGATAGATAGGTAGAGAGATAGATATTTTAAAGAATTATTTATTTAATTTTATTTGTTCATTTCTTTCTTTTAATTTGACCAGAGAAAAGACACACAGAGAGAGAAGGAAAGTGAGAAAGCAAGCCACCGGGTCCAGGACTCAAACTGCGGTTGGCCATATGGGAGTGTCCAGAGCCTTATCCACCACGCTACCCACTGGCCCTCATCCTGTTGTACCTTTTAGAAGTATTGCATTAGGCTAGCACAGATTAGGGGAAGTTGCTTTGGAAAAAGAAAGCATGAAAAATGTAGGGGTTTTGTTTGTTTGTTTGTTTTAGAATTATTTCTTTTATTTATTTTATTAGGGCTTCATTCACCAGTGAGAGAAAGAGGGAAAGTAAGCCACCAGGTCTGGGACTCAGACCGCAGCTGACCATGTGGGAGTCCGGTGCCTTACCCGCCACCCCACCTGCTGGCCCCGAGATGTAGGTGTTGTGACCACTGCAGGACGTTAGCGGTGTCTGCAGTGCCGTGGGGTGGTGGCCCAGCTGCCCTTCAGCAGGCCGAGGCCATGGGAGACAGAGGTTTGAATCCCAGCCTACCCTAAAGGGTGGGGAACAGGGTGCAGATGCCTGTGGTCTGACCTACTTAGGAAACTGAGGCAGGAGGAGCAAGAAATGGCTTTCAAAAAAAAAATATATATATATATCTCTAGATAGATAGATAGATAGATAGATAGATAGATAGATATGACACCTGTTTGTTTATGAAGGAGAATAACTGCAGGAAGCTGACGGTACACATTGCCCCATTGGTTCCGGAATCCCTTTTTTACTAATGAAGGGATCTAAAGTCTCTTCATAGTCCACATGTGAATTTTTAAGTCTGTGTCTTGCCCCTCCCCCCCACCATCCCCATTTCAACGTTGCAATGTCTTTCTGCTTGTTTTGGTCTTGGCAGCTCTGCAGGCGCCTCTCAAGCCTCTTCAGCCTTCCCCCACAGCCTCATCCGGTGATCTTCCAACCAGCGTGGCGCCTTTAATAGTCTTTGATATCCCCGAAGAACAGAGCTGTCCTGAAGCCCCCAGTGCCACACGATGTCCAGTGCCAAGACCGAGATCAAAGAGTAACCTCAGACCCGTAGCCAGAAACTCGCACACTAAGGAGCAGAGCCTCCCGAAAGACAGCCCAGCGGCTGCAGCAGAGGTGTGGTCCCCAGGCCGGCCCCGGGCTCCGTGCGACAGCACCAGCAGCGTAGACAGCCAGGTGGGCTTGGACGTTATGAACGCAGGACAGGGCCCACATAGCATCGTCTCCAGGATCAAAGCATTCGAAGGCCAGGCAGGTGCAGACGCCTCGGGCCTGCCCAAGAAACCCGAGATCACTCCCCGCACGCTGCCCCCAAAGCCTGCTGTTCCTTCAGGGAAGCCCTCCGTGGCTCCCAAGCCAGCTGCTAGCAGAGCTTCCGGAGATTGGGACTCGGCTGACAGCAGGCTAAAGGCACCCTCCGGGGAAGGGCTGTCCGCACGCTGTCCACCACAAGAAGCAGGAAGCATCCCGATAACCAAACCTGAATTGCCAAAGAAACCGAATCCTGGCCTTATACAAAGTGCTAGTCACGAGCTCCCAGGAGGAAGCCCGGGGGCCGAGAGCTCTGATGGAGGGAAGAAAGTCCCAACGCCCGCCCCGCGGCCCCAGCTGCCCAAGAAAGCCGCCTCTGCAGAGCACCCCACCCCCCTTTCGGCTCCACCAAACCCCATCACTGCACCTCCCCGACTCTCAGTGGCGTCCCAAGCCAAAGCATTCAGATCCCTGGGAGAAGGACCCCCGGCCATCCCCCCAAGTCCAGCTCCGCAGAGCAAGCCCCCCGGGGACATCGACCTCATCAGCTTCGACGATGATGTTTTGCCCACCCCGGCTGGGAGCCTGGCTGAAGAATCTGTCAGTTCAGAGCTGGTTCTAGGTGAGTGAGAAGCAGGCATGGAGGGGAGCCCTCCTGGGGGTACCTTGGCCCTGGCTGCTGTAGCTCTCATATGTAAGTTACGGAGGTGTGTGCAGGCGCAGAGACGGAGGGACAGACAGCAACCAGAAGCACGGAGCTGGGTGGGGAGTGGAGACAGATCATGACAGACGCCAGTACCCATTATGTGAGCCCAGAGTAAGCAGATGGGCAAGCGCCCCTTACTCTGGAGGTGGGAGTCAGGCTTCACACTGAAAGGGCCCAGAGAGCTTGAGAGGACCTGGCATGAGGGAGAGGCACAGGAGGCTCCTATGGATGGGAAGACCTGCCGTGCCCCCCGAGTGCTCCTCGGGTAGGACCACCTCCCCGGGCAGGACGGCGAGGGCCTGGCCACAGGGAGGACTCTGGTGAGAGCAGTGGGGCAGCCCATCCTCATGGCACAGATATAATGTCCATGGTCGCCACAGAACACCGTCCCCAGGAACGCAGAGCCAGTACAGGGCAATGGAATTTCCCAAGAGACAGGGAGTCTGTTTCCTCCCTCACACTGCTCGGAGGGAGGGCCAGGGGGCTGGCCTCATCGTCAGTCGGATTCCCATTACTTCTGCTTCCGTGTTCGGGTGTAATGTGTGAACATACAAACCGGATAGGATGTTCCAAAAGCCCACCGTCAGCCTGTGAAAGTTTAACACGCATCCGTCGGGTACAGGCTCTGCAGGGTCAGGGCGAAATTCTGCACAGCACAGGTGTGTTTTGAATGATAGCAAATACACACTTATTAAATATTTATCATGCCTGCCTCGCAGCTGGCTATACGTATAAACTAAGGAGACATGCCTCTTGTCCCTGAACGGAGCGAAGAAAAACATACCACCAACTCTCTGCAGTGTCTAAGCTCTGCTGGATAGACGTATTTACACCTTTTCTTCTTATGTTTATCTTTATTAAGGTCATCAGGAAAGTCGTGACATATTTTTCTGGTTTCTCTGTGCAAAAATGCATCATGACTTTATATTTTAATTTTTTTTAGGTTTTTGCCCAGAGGGCACGTGTGCTTGACAGACAGAGGGAAACTAAGAAATCCCCTCGCAGTCCTTTCTCCTCCATTCTCCTCTTGGGATTTTGGGCATGCATGTATACACACCCAGTCTAATTTCCAAGATGCCAAGTCTGGGACTTGAACCACGGTCAGCCATGTGGGAATCCAACTCCTTAACCACTGTGCCACCTGCCTGCCCTTCACCTTTCTATTTAAGACCTACAACCACCCTCTGGGAGCTGTGCTGGCCTCCCTTTGCAGATGGAGAGGATGGAGCTGAGATGGAGTCGTGCATGGCATGGCTAGTGGCATAAAGCCAGCAGTTCTCCGAGCTGGGATTCAAACTTGGTCTCTTTGTTCTAAGTCTAGTTTATTTCTTCCTATGTCACATCACTCCCAACATCTTCACGAACCCATAAACCAGGCAACACTTTAAGAACTTTTCAAGTCTTCACCCAGTCCCATAATGCAGTGGTTCAGCACAGTGTGAAGAGAGCCGGATACCACGTGGCCAAAACCATAGTTCCAGTCCCCGCCCCGGTGGCCTGGAAAACACCGGGAGTGTGTGTCTTGCACGCACACACCCCAAATTCACGTAGAATGAAGAAATAGAGGAAAACGGATGTGGCATGACCACGTGTGTTGGGGGTTGCTCACACTTCCTTTCTCTGCTCGAAACGAAAACAAAAACCTTTAATAGCATTTTCTCATTTAAACCTTTTTCTTGTTAACCACCTTCAGAGAACACCAGGGATAAATAGATCCAACAACAGCGGGCTGTAAGGGATGGAAACAGTACAAACCAAAGAGTCAGTGCCTTTTGTAGACCCTAGGAGAGTCTGTGGGGCTGGCGAGTTGGTTAATGATGGCAGAGGATTCTGTATCCTCAGGCAGGCAATTGCAGTCGTCTGAAAAGGAGGGTCTGTTCTGACGTGGATGCAGTCCCGTGTTTCATACTCACAGCCATTCTGTTGCTCGGTATCTACCACTTCATGGCACAACATTTAAGTACTGGGGCCGTCTTTCAGCAAAATGTGTCATTTGCTTGCCTTATCTGACATTACCCATTGCTCCTACCTGCGGTGACACTGAACTGAACACCTTGTCGTCTTTCCAGACCTCCTCCTCCTGTGTTTGGTACCCCGAATCTGTGACATGGTCACACACCCAGCGTCCCCTTCCCCAGGAGCCCTGGAGCTCATCCCTGAGTCGCGCTACATCCCACAGCGGCTTGCCGATTGACTTCAGAGTCTGCCAGAGGCGGCCACGATCGCTGTGTGACCTTGGGCAGGATCCTCAGCGTCACCGTGTCGTGGGTTCCTCCTCTGTTCATCCATAGGACACGATAGTAGTACTTCTTATTGAGCCAGCCCTGTAGCCCAGCAGCTAAGTGCTGTGCACAGGAAGCCTGATTCCTCACGCCTGCCCAGGGTTCAAGTCCCAGCCCCAGTGCCTTGAAGACATGCTGGGCATGCACGGTTTGTACATTTGCCCAGGATCTTGACCGGGTAGAGAATAGGAGGATAGAGGACTGAGTTGTAACCGGGCCTCACCCTATCACTCTTAATTGTTTGCTTGCTCACAGGTACCCTCTGACTAAAAATAATAATAATAGGGGTCAGCAGGTAGTGTAGTGGTTAAGGTACTGGACTCTGACATGGCTGACCTCAGTTCGAATCCCAGACCTGGCAGCTTGAAACTCACACCAGGCACATGTGCGTGCATGCCCAAAGTCCTGAGAGGAGAATGGAGGAGAAGGGATTGTGGCGTGGTTATCCCCCTGGGGGACGATCTCTCTGTTTCTCTCTGTCTCTCTGGTGGGCACATGCATCCTATAGCAAAAATCTTCCTCAAAAAAAAAAAAAATCATCTCCTTAGGGTAGATACTAAGATACTATGAGGATTAAATGTGAGTGGGCAGGAAAGCCCAGTCCACACTAAGGGATCATTAAGTAGCCATAGTTATTGCTACTTCTAGGCCTTCTTTCTTTCTTTCTTTCTTTCTGTTTTGAGAGGTTTTGCTATAGGCTGTGTGTGCTCGCCAGAGAGACAAAGAGACAGAAAGCGAGAAATCGCCCCCCCAGAGGGATGGCCACGCCGCAATCCCTTCTCCTCCATTCTCCTCTTGGGATCTTGAGCACGCACACACATGCACCCGGTGTGAGTTTAAGCCACTGGGTCTGGGACTCGAACCACAGTTGACTACGTGGGAGTCCGACAACAAAGCCATTATGCCACTGCTCATCCCAACTTCTAGGCCTTCTTATCCACGTGGTTACCAATGGCTACTGGTTTTACCCTCTGAGTAGTTTAGAATCTGCCTCGTTTCTCCCACCCCCCCATGAATAGCGTCCCTTTGGGCCTTTGAGCTCGAAGCGTTGCAGTGGCCTCCTCATGGGCCATCTGGTCCCTGCTGTCGCCCGTGCTGTGGCCACCTGCATGTTGGCCCCTGTGCCGCCCCTGCCCCTGCCTTCATATTCAGCACAGAACTCCTCAGCAGTGGAGGGATTGGTGTTTGGCTTTTGACTGGAGGCGTGGTGACTCTGATGCTATTTCTGTAGCACTGTCGTAAATAAAGATTTATGGTCTCTTCGCAAAACCTCGTTGGATGATAAAACCTTGCTGGATCATCCAGGCATCTGCCAGAAGCTAGGAGAGGAACATAGGAGAAAGGAGAGACACTGTAAATACGTCGGTCTGTCTTCTCTTTCCTCAGAAATAATGACAGTCTGGGGCCAGCAGGTGGCGTGGTGGTTAAGGTGCTGGACTCGCACATGGCGGACCACAGTTTGAGTCCCTGACCTGGCGGCTTACTTTCTTACTTACCCTTTCTCTCTCTCTCTCTCTCTCTCTCTCTCTCTCTGGTCAAATTTAAAAAATAACAGGGAACCAGCAGTTAGCGTAATGGCTATGTCGCTGGACTCCCACGTAGTCGACCACGGTTCGTGTCCTGGACCCGGTAGCTTAAAACTCACGCCAGGCACGTGTGCGTACGTGCCCAAGAACCCAAGAGGAGAATGGAGGAGAAGGGATTGCGGCGTGACCATCCCCCCGGGGGGTGATTTCTCGCTTTCTGTCTCTCTGTCTCTCTCTGTCTGTCTGGCGAGCGCACGCGCCCTATAATGAAAAAGAAAAAAAAAAACCTCTAAAAAATACGAGTGGGAATTAAATATTTTTTTAAAAAAAGACAGTCTAATAAAATAGTATGCATAAAATGAAGTTGCCGTGTGAATCTCATGAAATAGAGATCGCAGAAAACTGAAGCTATGAAAACACTGTAAAGACTAGACAAATTATTAAAAGGGAACTCATAAAACAGGCAATTTAATATTGGATTCCTTCCTTGGGTAGAATGCCTTCCAGGTTAATGTAATGGAGCTGACGTTTCAGCAATTCCTCTTCACACCTTTACAAATCACACCCCGTTGTCAAAAGAAGCAGGCCCCCTCTGCCGTCGGCCCCATTACGCAGACGGGAATCATAGTTTAGCAGCCCGTTTCTGCTATTAACGAAACTCAAGGGAAAGAAATGACAGAAAAGCGGGCCAGGGATGGTGAAACTAATTATAATGACAAGCAAATTATTAGAGACAGATAATGGGCCGAAAGCTACTTTATCACCCGTGTTTTCTCAACCCAGTAATGAAGACCGGGCGGATATGGGCGTAGAGGGGCTGTTTGTTTGGCAGCAGGTGTAGAATAATTGGTGTTGGTGTGAGGGGCTGGAGGAGGACAGACAACACACTGCACATGAAAGGAGAGAAAAAGGCCATTGATTTTTCTCCATTTTGGATAAGACATTCTCCTTGAGAATCTCCGCTTCTGTGTTTGTTTTTTTTGTTTCTGCAAAAGCAAGCGTAAACAGACTGTGATCAAATGAAGGCAGCGAGGTTCCTAACCCTTTCTTGATCAAAGAACTCTGAGAATCGAATGTAGCCGTTAGCTCACGAGTACACAGCTACAAG